TTTTCTTCTAGGTTATTGATATTTCTATGATTCTGGCTGAGGCAATCAGAAGAACACACAATGGTGAATCTGTATCCTACCTGTTCAGCCATGTCCCCTTATAATTTCAATCTGCATTTAGGAGACCTACAATGAAGAACACAATTCAATATTGAGATAATTATTATCTTGAAAAGATTTAGATTGACTATTCATTTCCTCCTTCTAACATGGACAATAAGTAAAATGGGCAACACTGTTGTCATTGGTTGCAAATTTACAAACTTTGTGCTTTAAAAAAGGACACTATAATAATTGCCATGATTTATATTGATGAGTAAATATCACATGAAAAATATTTTTTCCAAAAGCCATAGTTGCATTTACATCTGTTTATGGACTTCAGACATTTAGATAAATTGTTCAGGTTGATCCCTTTTGCGAAGAGAGGTAATCTAGGCTACAGACTTTTTATGAAAACATGGTAACCATTTTACCTCTCTTGAAATTAAGATTTGGAGTAATTATTAACTTCATGTCCTCTCATCCAAAGAATCTTTTGCTTCAAATCTTGTTCAAAATAATAGGATCTCAACATACAGTCTTGAGTCTTACGCTACCGAATTATGTTTAATATGTTTCTAATGCAATTAAATTAAGTAAATCCAATTAGACCACATGCTTGGTTAAGTGACTTCTTTTCAGATTGAAAAATATGCAGTTCTTTCAGACTATAAACATGTATAATTAGTGCTTAAGCTAATTAACACCATCTAGTGATTTCTTCACACAAAGCTGGATTGCTATCAAAACTCATTTCCTCCCGTACCTCAGCCTTATATGCTGTATGAAAGAGGATCACATGAGCTGCTGTGTTTGGATAAATGGGCAGCAGCTTATTAAGGAAAGCAAGAGTGAATTCTGACATGGCTCCAGCTTCGGTTGCAACCAGGATTGGTGGCACTTACTCCTTACTCATACTCTGCCTTGACAAGCCAGCAACAAAGTTAGGATTTTCTACAGTTGCTACTATAAACAGTGTGTATCAATCCAAATGAAATGCCAAATAAGAAATGAGACTATTCTGTCTTAAAAATAAATCCCAGGTTTTGGAATTTTTGCCAAACACGCAAGCTCTTCTTTCCTATTAAAAAAAATGATGCTAAGTTTTATTGTTTTATTTCTTATTTCCAATTAAGAGCATTTATTTTGTAAAAATTGTTTTGGGATATTTGTTATAAATTAAATTTCGATTCTTAAAAGTAAGCTTTTATTTTGTTGTCTGTTCCTAACCCAAACAAAACTATTAATTTATTCATAGGAGTGACACATGAATTCATATATCATTGTAAAAGGTACCAGATGTATGAGAATTTCTGACTTAATAGCAAATGAGGGCACCCTTATTCAGTGATGAGGACAAGAAATCATGCTGCTTATACCACATTAGTCAGCACTACTACCCCAAAGCATTTACTAATGCAAGCCTATGTATTACTTCTCAACCGCTTGCATTTTGGCCATTTGCATCCTCAAGGTTTAGGCTATGCTACATCTATGCTATGCTATATTGCGTAAAAGGGGAAAATCAAACTTCCATAATTCATTTTAATGATGTTTACAACTCTGGGAAATTGGATTACTTAAAACTATCTACATGCGCTGTCTTTTCTTTTAGTAATGAGTTGGATATGCCAGAAAAGCCTGAATTTTTATAATAAACATTTTAACAATTAAGTATTTTTAGATTGCTCGGTATTTTCACAATTGCCTCAGATGGTATTCCTATCTATCAAGTGAAGTTGCATCTCTAGATAATATTAAAACAATACCATCTAAAACTCGAAATTTTTGACAAAGCAGAGAAGAGTTGCAGACTTTCTTAAATTTAAATCAAAAGTAGTGTACAATCAAAATATTATATTGTTCAAACTATTACACATTGTTTTTGTTCCCCTATCTAATATTCCTTTATTGTATCTTTGTATTTGTCTTTTACTGTCATTCCAAAAAAAAACCCTGAGCCAAAGTTTGTTAATGTGTTAAATTATAAATCGGTTCTCCATTTCAAGTCCTATCAGAAAAGCCTGTTCATTGTTTCAGAATTTCTCAATAAATCTTAAAACAGCATTATTCTGATTGATTGGTGGTGATATTTATTTAATTGAGAAAGAACAAGGACATCATTCTATAGCAGTAAAAAAGTTGGCTGCACAATTCCCAAGGGCTTAATACAGCCTGAACCTGAGAGTATGGCCTTGTATAGAGTTAAACTGTTGGCCATGTTGAGAATCAAGACTGTCAGCTGACTCATTTTTGCCTACCTAGTCATCCAATAAAACAACAATAAAAGTGAACCTCTCTTGCTGGATTAATTATCAACATTCTACAGTGCAGAATACAATTCCTCAGCACCCATCTACAGCATCTCTAGACAAAGCCTTATGTTGTTTCCCTGTCCAATGAGGAAGGGATTAGTGATACCAGATGTTTCCCAGATAACCTCTCTTCCAAATATAGTGATTTTTAATTCAGTTTCATTTGTGTATTAACAGAATCACCAACATTGAGATCTGTTAGTGACTGTTGGGGTATGTCATAGGTACAGAACACCTGAATCAAAATGTTACATAAATGCATTGTGTAACTTAATTGACTCACAAAACCCCTTTGACACAGTTAAAATTGGTCAACACATAGGTCAAGGAACTTGTTTTAGGTCAGTTCTTTTCAACCTTTTCACAGATGTAACCAATTTTAGGATATGGCAATATTTGAGTACCAGCAGTTGCCTAGCAAGATGCTAAAACTTGATGACCCAAAAAAAGGGATAGTCCTCGACTTACAACAGTTGGCTTATTGACTTTAGAAGTTATAACGGCACTGAAAAAAGTGACTGATGACCATTTTTCACACTTCTGACCGTTGCAGCATCCGCAGGGTCTCATGATTTTCATTCAGAAGTTTGGCAACTGATTCATATTTATGACGGTCGCAATGTTGCAGGTCATGGGATCCCCTTTTGCAACCTTCTGACAAAGTCAGTGGGGAAACTAGATTCACTTAACAACTGTGTTACTACTTTAAGAACTGCAGTGATTCACTTAATGTGGCAAGAAAAGTCGTAAAATGGGACAACTTATTTAACAAATTTCTCACTCAGCAACATACATTTTGGGCTCAATTGTCATAGGTTGAGGACTATCTGCACAGCCACTTACCACATTTGTAATGGAAAATATGTGCCTATTTCCTGACATTAATCTTTGCACTGTTCTAGCCCCTTCTCTCCCTCTGCTTGCCTCAAAGAAGCCCCTCCTCCGTCTCTCACCATCCCCTTCTCTTTCCCCATCATTTTTTTCTCTCCCACCAAAACCTCTTATATCCTGTCCTTTCTCCTCCCCCCACCCTTTTTCCTTTTGTCTTCTAGTGCAGCTCCAGCTGACTCCTCCCCAAGGCTGTGTGCTGCTCCTGGAAGTGCCAATCAGCTGGAGCAGGGGTGGGCAAACTACGGCCCGTGGGCCACATCCGGCCCGTTGGTCTTTTTAATCTGGCCCGCCTCTGGAAAAAAAATATTCCCCTCTGAAAAAAAAATCGGGGCTGGCCAAAAGAGACCCCGTGCCGCGCGCCAAAAAATCGCACACACAATACCAATGCTACACACCCTTTCCAGCCGGTCAGGTGTGGATCAGCTCCGGAACTGGGCAGCCGCTTCCCTGGTGGTGGGGCCGAGGCCGCTGCCCGGGGAACGCCCACTGCTTTCCCTCGTCAGGGCTGGGCATGGCGTGTTGCCCTGCGCCACGTGGCCCCCGCCTGGCAGCGCGCTTCTCGGCTGGTCTCCTCGACCACACAGAACAAACCGCCAGAGAAGGAGATGACCTTCTGGTTGGGGGCAGCTTTCTGCCCTGAAAGAGGCAGCTACTAATCTCCGGCTTTGCTCTGCTTCTCCAATGGTCCAGCACCACCCTGTTCTTGTGCTGCAAAAGAGGCGGCTAATGATCTCCGGCTCTGCTCTGCTTCTCCAACATCCGGCGCCACCCTGTTCTGTGTCAGGCCCAGCAAGTCCGAGCAGCCGGCGCACAGAACAGGGCGGCGCCGGATGTTGGAGAAGCAGAACGGAGCCGGAGATCATTAGCCGCCTCTTTCGCAGCACAAGAAGCCTCCCCCAACTGGCCAGCTGCTCTCCTCCTTCTCTGCCTGTTTGTTCTGTATGGCCAAGGAGGAGGAGACCAGCCGGCTGGTTGGGGGAAGCTTTCTGCCCCAAAAGAGGCAGCTACTAATCTTCGGCTTTGCTCCGCTTCTCCAATGGTCCGGCACTACCCTGTTCTATGCGCCGGCTGCTCGGACTTGCTGGGCCTGACACATAGAACAGAGCATGCTGCAGGCATCTCATGACAAGCCCCAGGACATGTGGTCACCTGCTGGCTAGCCGGGCTGGAAGAGGCACATTCTCCAGGAGAAGGAAGAAAGCGTGCTCCGGGAGGGCGGCTTCCCCTCTTGCTCCTCACAGTTGCCCTGAGCTGGTGCGGTTCTTTACTTGGGCAGCCAGACACCCGCAGCAGCAACAGGCAGTTCCGCCCAGGCTCCGCTCAGGTGTCCAGCTGGGGCTGTCAGGAGTTGCTACCGCCGGCGCAGCTCCGCGCAGCTCCAGTCCCGCATTGCCTTGGGAAGGGAAAGGCAAAACCAGGAGCCGCTGAGCCTGAGCCTCCGGTGCCGCTGCTGCCGTTGCAAAGCTCTTCCTTTTTGCCTTTCCCTTCCCGAGGCAACGCGGGACTGGAGCCACACGGAGCCGCGCCGGCGGTAGCAACTCCTGACTCAGGGGGCCTCCGAGGGGAGGGGAAGGAGGAGAAGAAGGGTGGGGGAAAGGGTGGGGTGGGCAATTCCCAAAAAAATCGGAATTCCGATTTTAATCGGAACAATATCATGTCTGCATTAAGCGCAGTGACTTGATTTTGCAGAGCCCGAGCCATCTCCAATTATCACTCTTCTTCTACTGGTCAGATCAGAACCCATCTGCAGCAATGTCAAAGAAAATAAAAGTCAACAGTGAGTGCCGGGTGTTTAATAAAGAATGGATGCCTAAATACTTTTTTACTGAAGTCCGGTCAAAGGCTGTATGTCTTATTTGCCAAGAAACCATTGCGGTTTTAAAAGAATACAACATCAGCTGCCACTTTTCCACCAAGCATGCTAATTACGCCAGCAACCTTTCAATGCAAGAATGTACGGCTACCGCTCATAGGTTGGTAGCTAGCTTGCAGGCTCAGCAAAACTCCTTTATCCGAGCAACTTCCATCCAAGAAGCAAGCACGAAGACAAGTTATTTACTGGCATTCAAACTAGCAAAAGCCAGCAAGCCTTTCTCCGAAGGGGAATTTCTTAAAGAGTGCATGGTAGAGACAAGTATTTTATGTCCCGAGAGCAAGAACAAATTTGAAAAAATTAGCTTATCACGCAGGTCAGTGACTCGCCGTGTTGAAGTAATTGACGAACACTTAACTAGCAAGCTAAACAAAAAAGTGGAGTCATTTACATTATATTCTTTGGCACTGGACGAAAGCAATGACATAAAGGACACCGCTCAGCTTTTAATTTTTATCAGAGGGATTAATGAAAATTTCGAGATAACGGAGGAGTTTTGGGCTATGGAATCCCTGAAAGGAAAAACACGGGAAGTCGATTTATTTAACAGCGTGTCAGCGGTCATACAGAGGCACAAGTTACCCTGGAGTACGCTTGCCAACGTTACCACAGATGGATCACCAAATCTGACAGGAAAAAACATTGGGATGCTCAAAAGAATCCAGGACAGGGTGAAAGAGGACAACCCTGAGCAGGAGGTAATTTTCCTACACTGCATAATTCACCAGGAAGCACTGTGTAAATCCGTGTTGCAGCTTGACCATGTAGTGAAGCCAGTTGTGAAACTCGTTAACTTTATTCAAGCGAGGGGACTTCATCATCATCAGTTTATTCATTTTCTTGAAGAAACTGACGCTGATCACAGGGACTTGTTTTACCATTCTAATGTCCGCTGGTTAAGTTTGGGAAAAGTATGTCAACGTGTGTGGGAGCTCAAACAGGAGATTATTTCATTTTTGGAGCTACTTGAGAACACTGACAATTTTCCTGAGCTGAATGACACAGATTGGCTTTGTGATTTAGCTTTTACTGTGGACATACTGACACACATGAACGAGCTGAATGTGAAGCTACAAGGGAAAAACCAGTTTGTGCATGAAATGCAAGCAAACGTCAGAGCCTTCAAAACCAGGCTAGTTTTATTTTCGAAGCAAATGTCAGAGAAGTCATTTGCTCATTTCCCCACACTGGCTACGTTAACATGTGAAAAAATATAGGAAATCACTGGATGACCTGCATGACGAATTCTGCCGTCGGTTTTGTGATTTTGGAAAAATTGACTGGGCACTTCAGCTGGTGTCAAGTCCCTTCTCACAAGACCCGGAAACGGTGCCACAGGAGTTGCAGTTGGAACTGATTGATCTCCAATGTGACATGGTGTTAAAGGAGAAGTTCAACTCCCTGAAACTGGATGAGTTTTATGCTTCATTAAGTGCAGCCAAATTTACAAACATCCAGAAGATAGCACAGAGGATGCTGGTGTTGTTTGGCTCTACATATGTGTGTGAACAGACTTTTAGTGTGATGAACACCAACAAAGCACCCACAGATCCCAGATGAGTGAGGAACACCTCAGATCTGTTCTGAGAATTGCCACAACAGAATTACCACCAGACTTCGATGCACTGGCAAAAAATGAGTGATCAACAACACTGTTCTCATTAAAAGGTATGTTAATACTTTAATGCTTTTTTCTGTTTATGTTTGATATGTACTGTTAACAAATGCAGTTTTTTATATGTATCGTATCTTGTGCTGACCCGGCCCGTCTGTCAAATTTTAAAAGTCAATGCGGCCCCCGAGCCAAAAAGTTTGCCCACCCCTGAGCTGGAGCCATGTGTGCCGATCCTGGACACACAGCAGAGCCCTGGTAACATCGCAGCTCCAGCGGATTCTCCCACAGATCTGTGCGGTGTTGCAACTCATCCCTTCCACTACACTTTTTTTTTTTAACAACGGTTTTCAACCCATGGTACTTGTACCACCTGAGGTGCTGAAGTACCACCGGTGATACGCGTACCACAGGTTAAAAAGCACTAAAAAAAAGTATTAAAGTGCGGGGAAATGAGTTGAAGCAGCGGAAGCACCATACAGGTCGAAAAGCACTGGTTTAGATGGTCAGGGAGAACTGGTGCCTATTTGTTTTATTACACTGTCCGTATAGAACAATGAGTGTCTTTTGCCAGCCCTCAATTTCTTATTTAATCATGAGCATTATAATTATCTCAGTTAATTGTCCCATGCCATTTTATGTTTGCTAAACTTTTGGCTAATGTTGGGATACTCACAATTCAGGCATAATTGCCAAGTTTACCATCATAGGTTCAGGAGACAAACTCAGGCAGAACCTGAGAGCAACTCCCATTGGGAGCTGAAAAACAAGAGCTTATTATCAATGCGCACTACAAAAATAAAACATTGCTAATTAACTGAGCAGGAAGTGCTTTTTCATTTACCTCACATTTTGTATTTGTTATACTCTGTTTCTATGCACTCCCTCTCATTTATTCTAGATTTAACATTTTCTAGAGCTTAGTACAATACCTTAGAATTGCCATGCAGCACTTCACAAGACCTTGGGACTTTTTCATCTTCATTCTACCTTACTTGTCAGTTCTCTCTCCAGTGCCATATTCAGACCTTTGCAACTGGTTTTAACCAGTCTTAACTACTTCAGTTTTATCTTGTTTTTATTTTCTATTTCAATAGATAATTTTCTATCATTTTATCCTTATCTAACAAGTTTTTTTCAGTTTGGCTGATCTCTGTATCAATTTATTCCTGTCTTTATCAATGTCACATTTTTGATCTTAGCCTTATTTAATCTTTATATACGTACCTCCAATCTATTCTTGTTCACTTTGTAGCAGTGTATCTGGCAGTGTCTCTCTGCCACCTCTTTCTCCTTTGGCTGGTTACAGCTGTGATCATAACTGGGTGGTTCCTGCAGTAACTTCTAGTCTAGGTCAATGTCCCTGGTAGGTTGCTTGCTGCTCCAGTGGGAGAAAAGAGGAAGCAAAACTACCCCTTTTCTTTCACCTCGATGCCTTTTGTTCTGTACGAGCCATTAGCATACTTGGAAGCACCGCGTTGTGATTGGTCAGAACGCACGGCAACCTGATTGGCTGAGCGAGCCGCACTGATTGACCCGCCGCGAATCCCGCGATTGGTGGATACTAATCGCGGGAGATTCAAAGCGGTGCCATTGGCCGCGGCCGCCGCAGCCAAAGAATAAAAGCTGCCGCTTTTCTCCTGTTGCCCGAGCCGATCTCGGGACTTAATAAAGAGCTGAATCAAAGTCACTGGCTCCCGAGTCTCCTTCCCTGCGACGGACACGACACCTTTCACTAGTAATTTGTTGCTGTTCAGTGCACTCCTTTGAAGCTCACAACAATAACTAGCACCATAACCAAAGTTCTCTCAGGTCGGACCAGACACCTATCTAATGAAAAGCCTCCTCCATAGTGGCCGTCTAGGAAGCCAGTAAAACAGGGTAATCAGAAACCAGACTTTATTATTGTTATTTGTCTCTTTTTATTTTATAAATTCTTAAATTTGCTTCATCTATCCTTCCTCTATCTTTTATATCTAGTAACATACAGTGGAATTTTTTAAATATTAAGTAATATTAAGATGAAAATCATTGTACCACCAATACTTTGATTAGGGTTGTATTGCTTTTTTAATGTTATACTTAAGTTCTGATGAAAAAGCCTGTGCTTGTAATGTTGACATACTAAAGTGAATTAACATTGAATTTTGTTATTATAAGTACTTAAAGCTAAACAGTAGAATATTAATAATCTGTTATAAATTATATATAATATTATATTGAAACAATACAATGTATCAAAATTAATAACATTAATAAAACAAAATTATTATTTTAAAAAGTCAGCCACAGAACATAAATAGTTTCCCATTACTATCCCCATTTCCAAGACATTCAAGTTCAAAAGTACAATGTTACTAAGAAATATAGGCAGGGCTTGTATATGCATGGATTTCCTTATTGTATATGGATTTGCTAAATCATTTTTAAAAGCCATCCTAGTTGACAGTGATCATATATTATGGAAAGAAATTTTAGTTTAATTTATATTTGATTTTCTTGCAACTAGTTTCGTTGAATGAATTAATGGCAGTATTACAGAAAGTAGAATAACTTGCTGTGTTTTGCATAATATTGCTTCTCCAGAAAAGGAATATCTGGTGAGTATTTTCTCTGGCACAAGGCATCCTTTTTCTGTACCATGACTTGGCAGCAGTATCTGGGTATAGCACTAGTATCCTTGATTAGGGATCCAGCTCACTACTGCCCAAATGTGTATTTGGAAAATATCAAAAATCACAACCATTTGACTCATGAAAACTTACAGGATGAGAGCTCATAACACCATTCAATGGATAAAGTGGGCATCCCATAATTTTACAATTTTGGATCAACTCTTTCAAAGAATTGAAAACCTTTGCAAAATTAAAATTGATCTTGGCTTGCTTCAGAGGTAGTTCATTCAAATCAAGTATTCGTATGTTGAAGCTTTTTAATATTACTGTGGCTTCCAAAATTATGTTTTCTAAGTGGCTTGAATCTTTTATTGGGTGTTCTTGAATGAACAATTTATTGTAAGAAATGGGGGGGCGGGTTGTCCTTTGACATTTTAGCTAACATCTTTTACATCAGTGGCAGGTTGAGTCTAAATCAGAATGATTTTACTGAGCTAATGCTCATTTTAATGAATGACAAACATGTCCCCTATTTAGCTTTTATTGAAAATACATTCAATAATTTTAATTGTGTCTCTACCTCCAAAAAAATTATTGAAAAAGATTGATCAATTATTTCCTCAGTCATAATACTGATTTCATAAAGTGGCAAAATTCTACTACAATCCTTCCAAAGCCATACTATACTTTACAAAATATCATTTTTAGACCTCTTTATGAGTCATACTTGAATGACTACTACCGGTATGTGAAAAAAAGCCTTGCTTGAGAACATCTCTGCAATAAACTTTCATTTTACTGTGAATTGAAATTAAGGTGGCTGGTTGATAGACAGCACATGCCTTTTCTCCAAATTTCCCACAGTGGAAGAAACAAAGGTCTTAATAAAAGTAGTCTGATTTTCCGTGGAAATTCTAGAACTGTCAGCAGACTTACAAACTAAAACGAGTTTTGTTAAACTGGGTTTGTTAACAATGTGAAGATGGCAAATTGCATGAGGTCGGAGCTAATAAAATCAAGGAACAAAACTGATTAAACTTGAAGGATTATACAATAGATAAGGCCTACAACATATTAATTTTCAAATAACATTTCCTCTGAACTAATATTGGACCACATCTTGCTGACCTTCCAGAAGAGATTTTGCCATCTGGCCTGGATATCTGGTGATGTGAAGCTTCATATCACCCCCAACAATCTGGTTTCTCATTTTACCAGCCTCGGAAGTATGGAAGGCTGAATCAACCTTGAGCTAGTCAGGATTGAACTCCAAACTCTGGACAGGGTTTGCCTGCAATGCTGCATTCTAATCAATGCAGCTCTTTGTTGTTGTTATGGTTTTAGTTATTTTGTTTTATTGGTTTTGTGTTTTTAAATTTGTTACACTGCTCAGAGGTGTGTAAGTGACATGGACATCTGAATAATTTACCAAATCAAGATTAATAAAATATTGTCAAACAATTGCAAGATGAGAGACTTCTCAGTCTCATAAAATCAAAGGGGAAGATATGCATATTCCCTGTCTTCATAGAATCTACTATTGGATTGCTCTTCATTTGATAAAGCCTGGCTTATAGCCAAGAGCTTTGAGGGCATTTTCAATGCCTCCAACAGCTGCCTTATTGCCAACCTGGGATTTACAGATATAATAACACTTCTGTGATCATTGTGGATATTTTATTATTACTTCACAATGCTGATCTAATTGATTTGAAGAGATCTGATACTTAGTAAAATCAAGGGAATGGAGAAGTGCTACTGAGGTTTGACAGGACTACACTGGATTCGGCCTTTCATAAGTATATAAAATTATGGCCTACCTCTTACTGCAACAGCAGACCTGTATTACAACTGCATTGCTTCAAAATGCCCAATAAGGCTTACATTAAAAAGAAGTCTCCTCTATCAAAAATAGTCATGGACCAGAGCCCTGGGACTATTTGCCATCAATAACTTATGAGGAAAATGGATGAAGAGCATCTTGCCTTTTGAAGTGCCATATTTCATTTAAAATGTTTATTAAATTATCAAGCCAATGAGCAGCTGCATTAGAGTGGAGTCTCATGGTTCAGGGCCATTTTCTAAATCAGTGAACCAAGCTATTTTTAACTGGAGAAGAATAAGAAATGGTAGTTGTACATTTCAAATGCAGTATTTTGAGGAAGTGAGTAGTGAGGGCACCTGTCTCGCATGCTATTTATGTTTTAAGTTGTTTCTTACAGGACAATACAGCAGATAAATGAAGGGCTCCTTCCTGGTGACAAGCCTGCTTGTTACTCTTTTACTTGATTTGAAATTAAGGCTCCTTTCAATGGTCCTTTCTACCACAGTCTTCCTGAAGGACAAGACATCTTAATGGTGCAGAGGACTATGTAAATGGTAGGCTCATTACAAATCTTTACATTTCTTTTAAAAATAATTTTATTTGGAACTGATTTTTGTGTCTAAGAATTTTAAGACTTAGTTGCTCTTTTTTATTCATAATGAAATCATTTCCATTTTTTAAAACATATTTTCTAAAAAACTAATGAATGCTATTTACAAAAAAAGAGGCTAGTAAGTAGGCTCACTAATCCTAAGAATTAGCTTTTATTAGTTTTAATTTGCAGCCTTGATCAAGACAAACATAGCCAAAATTATATCCCAAACACTAATTTTTCAGTCTGAAATTGTTCTGGTTTCACAGAAAACTACAGGGAGAAGGTTTCTATTACTACACAGCATCTTGCATATAAAAAGTTGCTAATATGAAAAGATTATTCTAAGAATTAGTAGGCAAGAAAAGAGACATTTCATGTTCTTACAGGTTTTACAACTTTGTAACTAAAATAAGTAGATTTTTAAAATACTTTTATAAAGTGTTACAATTTTACAAATAGCTCAAAACATAGATTACAGGAATGTAGCCTGATGCTTCAACTCTAGTTGATATGTCTGATATGAAATTTCATCAATATGTCTTATATGTAACCATACAAGATTTTCAGCATCTTTTAACATAGTGTATCTTTTTTCTCTCCTAAAACCATGTGTCCTTTATCCCTCTTTCTCTTTCTGATACATTTCAAGCCTGTGAAGTTTGCCTTAGAACATTTTAGTTGTTTGATCTGAGGAAAAAAAGAAGTGAAAACATTTATGGAAATTATCATTGTCACCTGCTATTAACTGTAGATGTAAAGGGAAATTGTTAATTTAAAAAAAAAAATAGAATATAATCCTTTCTTGTCTCTTCTTTGTTCCTCATTCTATTCAGAGGTTACCTGACAATTTTTTAAGGGAAAGAATATTATGTAAATGGAGGGATGATTTCTAAATCTTTCAATTGCACTAAATATGCACAAACATAGAAATATGCACATATTCATATTTTCCCCTTTGCCTCAGAAAATTCATTAATAAAAGATGGAATAGCTGCAGTATATTTTGATAGAAACCACTACAAGTGATTTTTCTGGAAGAATCCGTTGACTTTGCAAAACAGTCTCTTCCTTAATCCAATTTATAAAATAACCTTTTTCTTCCATTTTTATTCACTTTTTAACCCCATGCTTTCTCTGGAAAGAAACATGCTATGAGAATGAGCCATGGGCAACTGAAGCTGTCTGTGCTGAATAATATATATCTGTGGAAAAGCATGATATTTCTTTTCTTCCTTTGCGAATGGGAAAGTATGTGGTCTGTATTTTGGCAGGGATATGTTTCATTCCCATACTCAAAAACGCAGAAACCACAATGCAAATCTCACTAGGTTTTAATACTCAGAGGTATCTAATGCTTCAGGTCACTGAAAGGATGAAATGAGAAGGATGGTCTGCTGTTCTCATTAGAAGCAAAGCAACAATAAATTCTTCTACCCAATCCCAACTTTCCATGCATTTACTTTTCCTCCATTCTGCTAATAATTACATATGTTGTAGGCCTTCAGGTACTAATATCCTCACTCTTTTCTTACAGTACATATTTTCTTCCCATATTTTCTCCCAGTTAACCTGCCATTTTATTCATTTAAAAATATTGTCTTTAGAGTGCAACTCTAAAGCCTTAAGAGTACAAGAGCCCCTTATTTGTGAAGGTGGGGTTTAGAGTGCACACAAAAGTATGCAGAAAACAATCCCCATTCTTGTTCAACGTATTGCCTCTGTTTCACCTCACTTACTCTATCTTCCTTCAATTTAGCAGGTAATATTTCACTGCAAACAGTTACTGTATTCGTGTTCTTAGACCATGAAGAGAGGGCAGAAATATTTCTGCATTCCTTGACCATCAGGGTAAGCATCTATCTTTCAGCACAATTAGTTGCCTAATTGAGCAGTTGTATTTCATAGCACACATTTTGTCATTCTATTAGTAATTTTTACAGTAGAAATCATTGGCATGCAGCAGTTTGGAAAGTGGACTGGAAATTATATCGGTAAAAGTATAAGATTAAGACTTTTAGGTTAGTTATTGGTCTCGGTACCATTTTAAAATAAAATTTCACAAAAATGTAATTATGATTGCTTAACTATAATATAAATTGTCTAAGTGGGCTTTAAGATGGGGTTATAAAAGGAAAAATAACATAATTTGGTATCTGTAGAATATTTTTAAAATAAATAAGCTTGCAATTTATTAAGGGCGACAGGGTCCCTCCATCTCTGACACCAGATGGTCCTGTAATAAAACACAATCTACTACTAGAAGACAGTTTTTGATGGGATGCATACAGTTCACAGGGTTCCTGTTAGAACTATGGAAATTCTTCCCCAAAGTGCCTTGGAACATGCAGTCAAAGCACATATGCATGCTGAGAGCTGGTATTTCTCGACTTACAACCATTTATTTAGTGGTCATTCAAAATTACAATGGCACTGAAAAAAATGACCTATGGCTAGTCCTAGAAGTTATTCCATGACACATGATCAAAATTCAGGTGCTTGGCAGCTTGCAGGTATTATGATAGTTGCAACACCCCAGATCATGCAATCACCATTTGCAACCATCACAAACATTTGCTTGTTTTTTGACAAGCAAAGTCAATAGAGGAAGCTAGATCCACTTAGTGACTGTTGATTCACTTAACAACACCAGTGATTTGCTTAACAACCATGGCAAAACAGGTTGTGAAATTAGGCACAACTCACACAACAACCAACTTGCTTAGCAATGGAAATTTTAGTCCCATTTGTGATCATAACTCAAGGAGTACCTGTAAAATAGAATGAAACAAAACAGAGGCCTCTTTAGAAGACATAATTCTAAACCATAATTCTTTTTTTAAAAAAAAAATATGACTGACCTAGTGACAATTATTGTTAAACCTAGCTTTTCTTTCAAAAAATAATCTAACTCAGCAAATATTGTTTTCAGCTTGGAAATTTTCTATCACATCTCTTTCTAGGCTCCCTGTGATCTAGATATTAGAACTTCTAAATTCCCATTGCTAACCAGAGAGATATGCTAAGAGTACCTCTGAATGTAGACAGAATGTCTTTTGTTTTCTACCAGGTGAGTGCAGAAACCTTACCTTTTCTCTGCCACCTCTCTTTGTCTCTTTCTTTTCCTCTCTCATACACAAATGTATACACATGGAGGCCAAGACGAATTTTTAAAAAGCCTATAGGATATCCACACACATATTTTAGCACCTCTTTCAAAAAAAGAAGTAAAATAATATATAATACTTATCAAAGGAACTCTACCAAGCACAAAGGCACTCCAACGTTCTAAATGCTCAGGTCTTCCGTATGACTGAACGTTGGCAAAGTGTAGTTTTTACACTGCCTTTCTTACTTATCAGTTCTGCTGCCCTTCCAGATTGCTTGGTTGCTCATGAAATCTCTCTTTCTTCATTGGTTCTTTTTGGGTAAACCCCACCTTCACAAATTAGGGGCTCTTGTACTCTTAAGGCAGTCTACTTTACAATTCTACATCAGGTTATGGAAGAATTCTTGGAAAGAAAAGTCCTTATGCTGATTATACAGAGGGACATCCTTACTGTGCTCCACAGGGTTAACACCAGGAAGAAGAGTAATTAAAGATGTTGAAAACCAATGTTCTCTTATCCAGCCCTAAATACTGGGTGCTAAGAAAACTGCATTTGAATAGAACAATAAAGCAACTTTTTCTATTCTCCTGCCCTCCAAATACAATGAACATATAATAAATTTATTCTTAATCTAGATTGCCTGGAAATTTTAATCTAATGTGCTGTCTGAATCTCACAAATAGAATTAGTTATCTGTCTGCAAATAGTAATGGACATAATAGGCTTATCTGTTGGGATCTTATAAATTCAGTCCAAATATCCCAGTTATCCAGAAAGATTTACCAACTGATACTATACATAGAAACACCCAAGAGAATCCCAAGACTTACTCAAGTTTCCAGCACATGTCTTAGGCAGGAATCCTAAGACCTTCACAAGGTAATGCTGTACAAACAAACTTCCTGAGTCCCAGTTGCTCAGTAGCCTTTGACCCTGTGGAAGACCATTGGCCTTCATAAGTTCTATGTCACTTAATCAAGTGACTCTTAAGTAGCTCCATCAAGTCTGCTCCTTAATGTAGCTAAGCCTCCTATAGCTCTCTGTCATGCTTTCTTCCTCTTCAGTTTCTGGTGTGTTTCAGTTGCTGAAGGGGAACATGAAAGAGGTCTGGTCCAATATTTTCTACATCCAGGGCCAGCAGAATGATTAGATTCTGACTTGATATCAATGCCAGATACAATAAACTCTTTGTATTGCTTTTGGGGAAGGTTTCTGCTGCTCTTCCTCAATTATGAAAGACCTGTAGAGCAAGCATCAAGTACCCTCTGATTGCCCATCCTTGAGCAAAGCAATATTCTTTCCCCCATCCCAGGCTGCAGAAAACTGGATTAAAAAGATGTAAGCCAGAAAGGAAGACAAATGTCATTTCTTTCCCCTGTGCACAAAATTTAGGTAAAGGTCTTGTAATGCAACATTTCATACAAAATGGCATTTGTTCTAGATATCTGGTAACGATAAGGGAATTCAGATGATATCATGCCAACAATTTCTTCAACATACTTGAATCACCAAAAAAAGTCCCTATTGGCTCATTTGCTGACCTAACTGCAAATCTGGGCATACTGCTTTATAGTTATCAAAAACTCTGTATTTCCTGACCTTTTTTTAAAAAAATGTTTTGTTTAAAAATATTTATTTATTTATATTTTACACATCTTCATGCGCAGCATATCTCTGCAGGAAAGAAGAAAAGGGAAAGGGAAAGAGAAGAAAAGGAAAGGAGAAAGAAAAGAAAATTGGAAAGGAAGAAAGGAAAGGAAAGGAAAGGAAAGGAAAGGAAAGGAAAGGAAAGGAAAGGAAAGGAAAAGAAAAGAAGAGATAGATTTGTGTTGCATACTAGAGAATGGAGGGGGGGAGGGAAAGAGAAAAAGAGAAAGGAGCAATCTTTGGATGAACCTGATGAACTTAGAAAGCCACAGGCAGAGATCTGTGGAATAAGGTAACAACAATAAGGTAACAAAAAGTGCACTCTGGGGGTCCAGTGGTGGAAAGGAAGTCAGAGATTTCTGAGACATATTTGTGGTATAATAAGGGCAAGGGAAGAAAAGTTTGAGGAAGGGAGCCAGAACACACATTCCTGATAGAGCTTAAAGCTTCTCTTCTTGATGTAAAACTATTTAAGAATGCTCAGTGTTTAACTGCTTAAATGAATTCTATTGTATTTGGCTACTATGACATTACTTTTCTTTCTTTTCTTTCTAGACTACTCATCTCTGGCTCGCAAGCCGATTGATTTTCTTTGTTATTTCACTGGCTTTAAAAGAGATTATAGTAATGCCATTTTATAAAACTTTACCTTGCGATGTGAATAATATAAAAGATACTTCCAAAATGTATATGCAAGTTGACTGCAGTGACCGTAAACTCATAGAGTTTCCAAAAGGCATTCCTGACAATGTTACCAACCTGACACTTGCTGTTAATCACATTTCAAAGATTTCCAAAAGCCATTTTAAGAACCTGAAAAACCTTCTAGAAATTGATTTCAAATGCAATTGTGTGCCAGTCAGGCTGGGACCTAAAGATCACGTTTGCACCCAGGGTCTGAAAATCCAAGCTGATGCTTTCTCGAAACTCTCCAGCTTAAAATCACTCTATTTAGATGGCAACCAGCTCTCAGCAATTCCCCAGCATCTCCCACCTAACCTACGACTTTTGAGTCTTGAAGCTAATTCCATTTTTTCTATCAAGAAAGAAAATTTGTCAGGACTTAAAAACTTAGAAGTACTCCAGCTAGGGCAGAACTGTTATTATCGCAACCCCTGCAATATATCTTTTGAAATTCATGGAGCAGCCTTTCAACCTCTCACAAGTTTGAAAGTGTTGTCTTTAAAAGCCAACAACTTATCAAAGGTCCCACAAAACCTACCATCAAACTTAAGAGAACTGTACCTTTATAATAACGCAATTCGAAATATCACCAAGGATGATCTGTCTTCTCTGAATAATTTGGAAGTACTTGATTTAAGTGGAAACTGCCCTCGTTGTCACAATGCCCGATATCATTGTATTGAATGCCCAGGAAGCATTTTTATCAATCCCAGAGCCTTTGACTCATTAAAGCATTTAAAGGTCCTGAGGCTGCACAGCACCTCCCTTCAACAAGTGGACTATCATTGGTTTAAAAATACCAGGAACCTTCAAGTGCTTGATCTTTCACAAAATTATTTGGCTAAAGAAATTCAGCAAGCTCATTTTCTACAGTTTCTTCCTAATCTTGTGGAACTTGACTTATCTTTCAATTATGAACTAGGTTCATACCCATTACATTTTACTCTCCCGAAAACATTTTCCACCCTGTCCAATCTGCAGTCCTTAAGAATAAGAGGATTTGTTTTCAAGGAACTAAATCAAAACACTATACGCAATTTAATTCCTCTTAAAAAACTTAATGTCCTGGATTTCGGAACCAATTTTATCAGGAATGTTGACATTGCTATGTTTGAAGAATTCCAGAGTCTTAGCACAATAATTCTTTCTTTTAATAAAATATCTCTTTTTTCATATGAGCCAAATAACAGGCTTTACTCTATTCTCAACTCATCAGATGATCAGTATAGTAGCAACATATTGAAAGATATGCAATATTTCAGGTATGATGAATATGCTCAAAGTTGCAGATCTAAAGATACAGAGGATATTCATTCCTTGTCTTTTGTCAATGAGACTGCATGCAGCAACTATGGAAAAACACTTGATTTAAGCAGAAACAATATTTTTTTTATCAGATCTTCTGATTTCCAGCACCTTTCAGACCTGAAATGCCTTAACATCTCTAATAATGCTATGAGCCAAGCTTTGGATGGAAGTGAATTTGCTCATCTATCCAGCTTGAAATGTTTGGATTTATCTAACAATCGAATTGATTTGCTACATGTGGAAGCTTTTGAACAGCTGAAAGAACTGGAAGTTCTAAATCTTAGTGATAATAGCTATTATTTTAAGGCAGAAGGTGTCACACTTATGTTGGGCTTTACCAAATACCTGGTTAATCTGAAAATACTGCTTATGAATGGCAATGAGATTTCGGTATTCACTGATAGAGGAATGGAAAGTGATTCCATCAAAATATTAGAATTTAGACGAAATCGCTTAGATATTTTATGGAAGGATGGAACTAATGAATACTTGGCATTCTTCAAGAATTTGACCACCCTGGAAAGTCTTGACATTTCTGAGAATTTTCTGACTTTGTTACCTCCTGATGTATTCTACAATCTGCCTCCAAAACTAAAAATATTAAAGCTGGCCAATAATCGATTGAAGACTTTTAACTGGAGGCATCTTCCAGCACTAACAAATTTGGAAGTCTTAGATCTTAGCAACAATCAGCTGACTACAGTCCCCTATGAACTGTCCAACTGTACTAAGACACTTCAGACATTCATAGTGCAAAACAACAAGATTAGAAAGCTGACAGATCATTTTCTCAAAGATGCTTTTTTCCTGAGGCATTTAGATCTTAGTTTTAACAGGATCAAAACAATCAGGAACTCTAGCTTCCCCAAAAATGTTATTAACGGACTAACAACATTACTCTTAAATGGTAATCCTTTCAAGTGCAATTGTGATATTGTGTGGCTTGTCCACTGGATCAATGAGACAAATGTAAAAATCCCTTTCCTAGCAACAGATGTGACTTGCGCAGGGCCAAGTGTATGGAAAGATAAAAGTTTGATTTTACTAGATTTTTATACTTGTGAATCAGACTACTCTCAGATCCTCTATTTATTGTCAGCTTCATTCATCATAATTCTCATGATACTTCCAGTTACAAACCACCGATATTTTTGGGATGTCTGGTATATTTATCATTTCTGCACTGCCAAATTAAAGGGATATAAACGTCTCTTTTCTTCTGAGGTTAAATATGATGCTTTTGTGGCTTATGATAATAAAGATAAAGCTGTAACAGAATGGATCCTGAAAGAACTAATTGAGAAACTGGAAGATCAGAAAGAAAAAAAATTCAGTGTATGTTTAGAAGAAAGAGACTGGCTACCAGGTCACCCACTCATGGAAAACCTTAACGACAGCATACACATGAGTAGAAAAACAATATTTGTGCTGACAAACAGCTATATTGCAAGTGGCAACTTCAGAATAGCTTTTTATATGGCACACCAGCGTCTTCTGGATGAAAAGGTAGATGTAATTATCCTGATCATTCTTGAGAAGCTTCTGCAAATGTCAAAGTGCCTCCGTCTCCGAAAGACCTTGTGTAGTAGATCTTGTCTTGAATGGCCAAACAATCCTCAGTCTCAGGCTTATTTCTGGCACTGTCTTAGAAAAGCCCTCGCAGCAAATAATGAGTTCAGATATAACAAGCTTTTCAAAGAAATGGTATAACACTCAGTTGCATTCTCAGAACACGTTTTGGAAATCATAGCAGATGATGAGGCTGAATCTCAATCTCTATACTTTTAAAGCATTGGTAGAACCAGACAAACTTTTGGTTATCTGAGGAAAGGTGCCCAGGAAGTTTAGTTCCATAACTCAATTTTCCATTTAATAACTGTTGGGTTATGTAGGAAGCTTATGATGATTTTTATGAATTCCCCCAATCTAAACAGGAAAAGTGAAACAGAAGAGACAGATTCCAGTTACAAATTTTCACAGCAAGACTTTATGAGTTTTCCTATGTAAGCATGTTTTCTTTCCAATATTTGATACAAGTTGAAAGAAACACTAAAAATGAATATAATTTTTAGCATGAACTACAATTACTGTAAATTTGAAAATCAGATATTTTGAACCAGTTGTCTATTTATTTATATATGAGGGGGGAAAACTTTAAATTACATAACAGTACAATAAAAATATGGGAATTGTAACATAATGGGATGTGCAGATCAGTTGGAATGCATTCAGAAATGGAGAGAGGGGGGGATGAATTGGTGATCTAAATGCTTTTTGTATAATGCTTTTCCTTTAAAAAAAAAAATCATTACAGTATCAAAGTCCAAAAAGGAAGAAATTTAAACGCTTACAAATTATTATCAGTGACTAATGATTTTATGCTGTAATCTGAAAGCATCTTTGTGTGAAGCCAGTTTGGTATCTAGTTCAGTTCCAATCTGGGAAAAAGGCAATGGAGACAAAATGGAGGCCGGAAGCTGATTGGAAAGAGTGTCCATTTATTGATGAACAGAACCATGTTTGTGGCTCTGGTGCAGCTGACCACATGGAGTTGAGAGTGGGGGGGGGGGGGGGTATTTATACTTTCTCTTGGGTTTTGCACTTGAACTTCCTGTTCCTGTGCAACATGTAATCTATTGGCTGTTGTAGGGGTAATAGCTGGCTCTATAGTGTTGTCTGAGCTCCCAGATTTGAACTGCTAAGAGGATGCAATGAAGGCTTGTGTTGGGCAATTTCTATTGTGGCTGAGGGTTAATCTTACCTTTGTTGGATCTTGGGTGAGGGTATTTGCTTGTGAATAGAGCTATCTATCTCTTTATCTCTTAAGCGCTGATATCTGCTGTGGGGGCTACTTTCCAAGAGCATGTTTCTCCATTTTTTTTCTTTTAGGGAAATATAATATTCTGCCTTTTAAATATTTCCTAAAATATTTCATTCTTCTAGAAGAGGGGTGGGTGCTAACTTTCAACTAGAAACCAAGACATCTTTAATTCTAGTCCTGCCTTGGGAACAAAGCTAAATGGGTGGCCTTGGACAGTCACTTCTCTTGTCCCTAGGAAGAAGTAGAATTGCCAAGTTACTATTCCAAAATCAGATGGTGACACCAGCTTAATGGCTACAGATGCCAAGAAAAGTCCAGAAGGCTTTTCAGGAGTCCAAAATAATTTAAAGGTGCAATTGTTTAAATGCAGTTTATGTTGATGGCTATTGATGGCCGATTCGTTTTTTTCGTTTGAATGAAAAGCTTCCAAGAATTCCCTAGGGTTTTGGGATTTAGCTTGGTCTAGGGTGGCCACACATTTACACGCAAAAGAGACAATTAAAAAAACCTAAGAAAACAAAAACATCACATTCTCTCTAGCAGTCAACACACAGATAAGTAGGGATTAACACCAGACAAACAATCAAGCAGAAAACAATAGCTAAACAAGGAAATATATCCACCAACATTGGTAGGGCAAGCTATTGTATATAAAAAGGCATCAAACGCCACCATGACTAGCACTGATATGTTACCTAGCCAGGTAATGAAATTTCTTCAAGCAAATAATCAAGCTTAGAAACTTCCAAGGACAGTTATCTTAAGCTACAGATACTGTTTTTTATTCTCTATTCTCTTTTGTTCTTACTTGTTTAAATGTGTTTATGCATAAATGTATGAATAAGGAGTACTGTAGTGACCGGTTCACAGAACAAAGTATGAAGCAGTATGATTTAAGTGGAAACAAGGGTGGTGATTAAATGAATAAAGTTACTGTAAGGTTAGTGAACATTGTTAGTGTAGACTAGAATTAGTAAGACAACTTTTTCTGTTCATTTACCTCTTACCTTTGCTTACCACCTATCATATTTTTCTATGCTTTCTTACTGTTGGAAGTTAAAACCCACCCCTCTCCTAGGAAAATGAAATATTTTAGGATATACTAAAAAGGCAGAAAATTTCCCCTAAAAGAGTAGAAAGTCAGAAGCAGAAACCCACCTCAGAAGCAGAAGCTCATCCCCACCTTTGTTCATGGAGGGGCCAATTAAGGCCTGGGACAGAGTATTTTACATAACAAAGCCCTCTACCCATCTCACCACCTGGCCTGGGAAGATTGCATCAGCCAGCACTCAGGTGAAGCCATGTGGTCCAGACAAAGTCTACAAAGTTAGCTAAGGACACACACACACACCCAGGAGTCTGATAGCCAATGGGATACATTTCTTACACAGGAACAGGAAACACTAAGGTGGGGCCCAACAGAGGGTATAAAACTAAGGGTCTCTCAGCATCTTGACCCCCTTCTTTTCCTTCACCCAACTTCTTGAAGCATGTGATGTTCTTTTCACTTTGGAGCTCCAAGCCATGTGATCCTGTCCACTATTAAACCATCTTTCCAAATAGCCTCCATGTTTCTAGTGTCTTTTTCCCCATTTGGAATTCAACCCAGAAGGATAATTCTTCCAACATTACCATTGCTTATGCAAAAGAAAGCAGCATGATTTGATTGGTCCATCAGCATTCTCATTCATTCTTATCAGTGTAATTCCACATGGCACTTTAAAAACAATAAAATAATTAAAAAATTGAAGCAACCAACTTCATTATACCAAAATAAAATGGTAACACCAGCTTAATGGTTAGAAGCTTACATATAGGAATTTGAAGAGCAAGAAAACTGATTAGGGAATTTTAAATCCTGAAGTTTATCTCTCAAAGTTTAAAAATGTACAAATATCACATTTTTAAATAAGAAATGGTCATTCATATACCAATCTATAGGTGGCAGCAAATGATAGTTCCTGAAACTGGATCTCTCACTTAAATTACAATAAAGCATTATGAATATATTTGGTCTTTCATTTTCTAAATTTAGTGTCTATGTGCCAGATCAAGGCCAGAATATCAAAATCTATTTGGAAATGGCATGCCAAAATCTGAGGTGATAAAAGATTTTACATTAGCAGCTTAACTGCTAATAGCTTGGGTTATGTAGTTATTTGTTTAGAAAAAATACATGGTGGCCACCTGTCTTAAGTAACTAACTCTGAGAGGTTAACAACAATACAAGAAGAAATAATACAATGAAAATCCCTATAAACAAAAATACATGGTATAACAACTAACTCACAGCACAAGAACACACATTAATGCCTCCGCTAGCATCTTAGCCCTAACACTGGGGTGGGAGTGGGGACCATAGGGCAAGCTCCGCAACACATAAGGCACATTTCCTGGATCCCACTAGAGGATGCTGTTTCAAACAGGGCTCAGAGCATGCTAACAGCAACAGAGACAGAAATTGCTGGAAACAGGTGACCACACAGGTAACCTGGTCCTGGGACACGCAGGGTTTTATGTGCGGCCTCTAGAAATGCAGGACCACGTGGATTCTGTATTTGCAGCAAAAGCAGAAGAGAATATTTGGGAGATTCAGCTTTGCAAATGCTGTTTTTTGGAAGGCAAACCTATCTGTTATCATGGGAAAAAGCAATTGATTATTCACATGCCCCCTATGTAGTATAAAAAACATGAATAGACATGAAGATTAGTAGACATAATATATTTTGTGCTTATTCTTATTATTTAGCATAAGGTGAGAACATGACTGTGTGTGTGTGTGTGTGTGTGTGTGTGTGTGTATACACACACACACACACACACACATACACACATGTATGTGTGTATGGATATATATATATATGTATGTATGTATGTATGTATGTATGTATGTATGTATATGTTTTCTTAAGTTTTCGCGGGTATTTATATGTCTGGTATTCAGCTTTGTTCGGGTATTTTCCCACATCATTATAGTTGTGCTTTTAAAGTTGTAGCAACATTTTAAAGTTGTAGCAGCAGACGAACACTATACAGAAGCCTGATGATGGCAGATGAGATTCTGCCGAAACGTTGCTACAACTTTAAAAGCACAACTATAATGACGTGGGAAAATACCTGAACAAAGCTGAATACCATATGTACATATATGTATACATACATACATACATACATACATACATACATAAAACGGTAATACATAAAATAGGAATTTGGCAGTGACCTCATAACTGGATGTCCACTTCGGCTACCCAGGCAATGGTCTCTGGCATTGCTTCTTGTAGATTTTCTAGGGAACCAGAGAACACACATCATGGGCAATTTTGCACAATATATTTAATAGTTTGAATAAGTTAGAATACAAGTTAGAATGCATTTTGTATTGCAACAACAACTACATAATTATTCAACCAGTATATGGCAGTGTTTAATTTGCCTCTATGGTCATAATCTATGGTTCCCTTATGTCCTGAGGAGAGTTTCCTGTGACAGTTGAAACCATTAAGCAGCAAACCCCATTGTGACTGTACAATATATACTTTATTTGATCTGTATGGCTATGTAATTATCTTCTCTATCAATCTGTATGGCTATAAAATAATGCTACCATTTTTATATAAAATAACAGAATTTCTAACAGGTTTTGGGCATGGATAGATAATAAAATAATTAACCTAGAAAGACTATACAAGTGGAATAAAAGAAACCAGGCCATAAGATGTTTCAATCAGGAAGTACATCAGAAGCAAAAAAGGCATCCCAGTCAAACATTGTCCTATATTGCTCATGAAGCATTAAAACCCAGAGATGGGAAGGAGAATCCAAAAGAGATTGCAGCAACTACCCTGGTCTCCTAGCCCAGTAGGAGCCAGGGCCCCAGCAGCTCTAGTGCCAGCTCTGTGGACAGCCAAGACAGCAAGAAGAAGAGGACAAGAAGGACAAGAAGAATCATAAGAAACAGGAAACAGAACTAAATTCAGAAAAGGG